GACATAGCTACAGAGGTGGCTGGAGGCCATGATTAACTCATAAGGCAATGCATGCCCTTAGGGGGCCAAGAGGGCCCACCTAGCAGAAGGGATTGATTGAGAGCAGTGGGGTCCAAGAGGTATCCATGGGTAAGAGGATAGGCTAAAGGCCCTTGGGCAGCCTCCCTTATTTTGTTAATAAGACCAAGGTATGGCAGGTGAGAGCAAAGGGAAGGACCTTAGAGCAGAGCAGGAGCTAAGTCACCAGCAGGGGGTGTGAGGGCCACGCCTGGGACACCAATCCTGTTACAGGATATAGCAGTGATAGCAAGTGTCATACCATATTTGCAGCCCTGTTGTAAAGTGCCATTGCTTTCTCTTAATGCAAAGTCAAACGTATTCTTAAATTTGTTTATTTTATGGTTTATTTTAGAGGACATTAAAAAAGTTGAATTTAAGTGACAGAGAAAGATAAGTTGAAGTTATTTTAATATAGAAGAGCACATAATATGAACGTTATAGACAAATATTCACCATGATGGATATTGCTTATTCCTTGGTGGTCTTGACCAGTTTTAGTCTTCATATACTTCTCCAAGGATCTATATTTAAATAGTGAATATCGAAATATTCAGAAAATAAAATTCTGTCATCATAATTTCAGGTGGTCAGCTAATTAACTTATTATTTCCAAAACTTTTTCTTTATTCATTGTAAAAGGCATTAGGGCAGTTCTGCAAGAACATTTCTCTGTATATAATCAATTCACAGAAATCATTTACAATTGTAAGTGAATATCACTGAGTATCCTATAACAAAGCAGATAAAACAATATCACCCTGGTTACCTTGTACATTTGTAGTGTTTGTAATTGTGATCATCTCTTTGTTTGAAATGTGAGTCATCAGTGTCTAACTTCTGTTTAGGTGTGGTATGTGGCAGGTAAGCACTCTAAAACTCTGAAGGTAGCATCTGATGGTTAATTAATGCATCCTTTTTTCAAGATTAATAGGGAAGATTCGATGATATTCAGCTTTCAGGGGAACATAAACATCCACTGTGACTGTAATTCACAATGTGTTTAAAACAATTGTTCTTTATCATTAAAGTTAATAATATGCACATTAACCTCTGATGTAGTCTGAATCAATATTACAGTTTGGAAGATGTGACCCGTGGACAGCTTTGTCTAAATATTGATTTCATTGTAATTTGTATAAGGTATGAAACAAATTACATGCTTACTAATATCATTAATGTAGCCCCATTGAGCTACTGAATTTATGGGTTCTTATAATACATGACATTGCATTAGAGAAATATTGAAGACATTGTGAAATACAATTGCTTAGTTTGCTAGATTTGATTGTGGGGAGCCAGTACTGACATTCAATAACTTTCAAATACTTTGCTGTCTGTAGGTAGACCAGAAACAAGGTTAAGCCACTCTGGAATATGCTGTTTATTTGTTGTTAACTTTAACAAGGCATACTTTCCTCAGATTATGGCAGTAACAAATTATTTTAAAGCTTAGTACTCATGTATTTATATCCTTAAATTTAGATGCAGATTCTATGCATGCTTTCACACCATGATAAACACACAAGATTTGTTGGGTAAATCTGATATCTTTTATCAGACCAACTAAAATAGCTGGAAAAATTCTTCTCTGAAAGCTTTCAGGTCCAAACACCCTTCTTCAGGCAGAAGGAGCATCCACAGTTGTTTTGTGCTCTTCCCAGAAGATCCAGAAAGAATCTCTCAGCAAGCAAGAATAAGGGGAGAAAGAGACACAAGTGTCCATAACTATATCTATTTTTTTCCATACTTTTGAAGAGGATAACCTCCTTGGTCTACTGCATCATTTTAACGTCCCATGATTAATTAGTGAAACAAAGCAGTGTCTGCTAACAAAGTAAATTGCAGGTAAATTCCAACACAGCACAGTGATGATAATTTTAAGACTAATTCAGGTTGACTTACATACGTATACCTCCTCTTTAAGCGACTGTGTTTATCATATATGTTTCAGCGGTGTTGGTTGTAGCTGTGTTGGTCTAACAATGTAGGGAGACAAGGTTCTCTGGGTAAATTTGTTGTCTTTTATTAGACCAACTAAAATAGTTGGAAAAAGTCTCCTTTGCAAGCTTTTGGATACAGACAGTCTTCTTCAAGCAGAGGGAGCATCTGCTGTTGTTTTGTGCTCTTCCTGGATCTTCCAAGAAGATTAGTAAATTTCAGATTTATCCAAAGAACCTTGTCTGCCTACATCCTTAGACTAACATGGCTACAACCAACACCCCTCAAAAATGTATGATAAACACAGTCCCTTAAATAGGAAGTATATGTATGTAAGTCAAGCAGAATTAGTCTTAAAATCATCATCACTGTGCTGTGTTGGAATTTACTTGTAATTTACTTTGTTAGCTGACATTGCTTTGTTTCATTAATTAATCATGAGAAGTCAAAGTGATGCATCCTCTTCAAAAATATGGGAACAATAGTTATAGTTATGGACACTAGTGTCTCTTTCTCCCCAGTAATTTAAGCCTTTATTCTTACTTGCTAGGAGATTCTTTCTAATAAAATATCAGATAAATAATTTGATTCTTACTATGCCTACCTCTCCTCCTCCCTCCATCTTCTTCCTCCTCCTCCAATATCTTCTTCATCCAGTAATCTTTCTGCAGTTTCCAGGAATCCAGGGTTCGACAGTATTCTATTTTCCACACCTTGTCTCTGGGCAATTTCATTTGCAAACACAAACTCAACTACGAGCGCCATGTGGATGACTCACAAACCTAACTCTTTACTCCAGACACGTCTACACTAAAATCTTGGCATCTCTTTCTAACATTTCATTTAACAGCTCAACAAAGGTCTTGATTCCTTTCTTTCTCTCCCCCCTCCCCCTCTCCTTCCCTCCCCCACCATCTGCATTGTCAAGCACTATGGACAACACCATCATTTTGTCTGTCACTTTGGCCTGTAATTGAGGCCATCTTCAACGCTCTCTAGGTCCTCAATATCTAAGCTACGTCCTATTCCTGAAAATTCTTTCTGCGCTTCATCTGGAAGGACATAAATAGGGCTTCCCTATTTATTTGTACAACTAAAACTGTGTAGGTTTTTCCCTGCTTTCTTTAGCCTTGGCAACTGTAGTCTTTCCCTTCCCATATGCAATCCAGAATAATGCTTCAAAGATCATTTTCCTATGCTCTTCTGTTACATTTTTGCCTTGGCTGGTTCTTTTTTTTTAATCTCATAAACATAATCGGTGTGTCCTCACTTTCAGGTCCCTTTATGGCCTATGTATTAACTCTCATTTAGTGAACCCCACCTCAGATCAACTCAGGATGCTAAACTTCACGTAACATGAATTATGTTCCATACATTAAAGCCGGGCTTTCCAACTAGTGACCTGGGGTGGGGGAGAGGAAGAGGTTAAGGTGAAGTTCAGCTCCTGCTCCTCTTATTGCTCCAACTGCAACAGTAGCCCCAGGGTTCCTTTTTCCTCCTCTGGCTATCACTTCCTGCCTGTACCCTAGGTGATGGAGGCAGGAGGAGAAGGGAGTCTGGAGCTGTGCAGATGCTCAGTGTAAATGCAGGCAGGGTGCCCACATGGGCACACAGTGCAGTAGTGGGGGCATCCACATAGACTCACGTGGACTGGGGGGCCCATGGCTCACCCTGTTAGAGCCTTCATGGCATGCAGTCCTCACTGATGCTGCCTGAGGGGCATGCAGCCCTTGGCCAGTTGAAAAGTGGTCATCCCTGTGTTAAAGTTTCAAACAAGAATCTTCATGCTTTTTTCCCATCCCACCTCTCACATTTGGTAGGAGCTCCTTGTACACATCTTCTTTACTATGTCTCCAATCGAATCCTTCTATATGGTCTGTTCCCAGTATTCTGCCCAGGCCACTGCTTCTGTTGTTGGTGTTGCCAGATCTTGTGGGGTGCATTGTGGTGCTACAGGGCATCTCAGGAGATGATCCATGGTTTGCTTCTCTTGACAAACACATTGGTCAGTAGTGGAGGGGCTCCATAATTTCATGAGAAAATTGTGTCTGTTGAGACCCACTCTCAACCTGTTCAGGCTCTGTCATGTATGCCATTTGTAGTGGAAGCCAGATGCTAACTCCTCACTGTGGTAATTTCTCACTGGCTCCATTCAGCAGCTTTGTTGCCTGGTTTCTTCCATTCTTTTTGCCAGAAGGTAGTTCTGGCTGATTCTGGTGATTTGATCAATGGTATGGTAGAGGACAAAAAGCTATTTCGTGATGAGAGACGACAGTGCACTGGTTGATGTAAACATCTGAAAAGCCATTTTCTTGTTCATCTCCAAGTCACTTCTTAACCCCTCCTTTACCAGGCTACTTGAAAAAAAACTACAACAGTTAGGCTGCTGATGCACTGACATACCATATAACCTTTATTGTCTCATTGATTCTCTGTGTACTCCCATCTGTCCATGTCCAACCATGATCTGTTATCTTATATTTGGATTGTAGGTTCTTTGAAGTAGGGACCATTGTTTTGTTTTTTGTTTTGCGCAGTTTAACACATTGGCAGCCCTATCCATGAAAGGGCTTCTAAGTACTGTGATAATACAAATAATAAAGAGTAATATGTTTACTATGCATCAAAATGTTATAAGGATCTAATCATTACTGGCAAAATATTGACTGCACAGCATACCAAGTCCTCTCAGTTCATCCTGGAAATGTTGACAACAATGTTGATTTTTGCAGTTTGCAATTAGAAAAGTAGTAGATTTTGTCTTTGCATTCCCGGTCGGGATGGAAGTTTTATGAATTTTCAGTACAGAACAATTATAGATTGTAAAACCAGAAGAGACCATTGTGATCATTTAGTCTGACATGTATATAAGACAGGCCAGAGGACTTCCCTGACTGAAATCTTGTTTGAACCAGACACACAGGTGGATCTTTTGGAAATAAATCCAATCTTGATTTACTTTTGCCAGCTCATGGGTTTTGTTCCAAATTCTCTCTTCATAGGTAAAAGTGACCCATTTTGTGTAGTTGAGTTGAACAATGACAGACTGCTGACACATACAGTCTACAAGAATCTCAACCCTGAATGGAACAAAGTCTTCACATTGTAAGTTTTTGGTTTTTTTTACTTTTAAAAATAAAAATTACCTACTGCTATTCCAGAGAAATAGTTGTGAAATACTCTTATTTTTAAGCTAAATAGTTGAATTTCTTTTCAGTGGAATTAAGAAAAATTGAAAATGCTTTCAGATAAGTGAAAACTAGATCACTTTGTTAAAAAGAGGAGGTCCGTTCCTGTGAGAGAGTAGTTGTGGAGTACAGAGTATTCCTAACTCCCAGTAGCTTTGGTGAAAGTTGAAAGAGCTCATCTCAGAGGATTTGGTCCTAGATTTTTGGAAATGAGGAAACATGTTGATGCTAATGATCATTATGAAACATAATTATTATCTTAATGAATACCACAAGTTCAGTATATGTGAGAAGGAAATAAATCAGAAGCATCCTTTTTCAGGAAGAGCTTCTTGCTGATTTTCATTTTTTTAAAATTTGTTTATCTGATTTGACAAATGACCTTGTTACAATACTATTTGATATTATAATTATGCAATGCTGCTATTGGATAAAAGGCAATCTGCAACATTCAGTTTAGAAGTGGCACAGTTGTACTTTTCTGTAGTTTTGAAAATAATAAAAGGTTCCAACAAATGCCAAGAAGAATACTTTGAATTGTCACCTTATTTCATTGTTTTAGTTTCTTTCTTTTATATATATGTGTGTGTGTGTGTGTGTGTGTGTGTGTGTACACCGACACACAATATATATATATATATATATATATATATAAATTGAGTCTCCCTGATTGCAGTGTGATACTGATGAGGAGAAAATTGATCAACTTCAGATTTGTTTGCTGCTGATATCGACAATCAACTCACAAACAGTAGAAGCTTAAGCTTTCTGTGAGTTTCACTTTGGCAACAATGAGAATATTAAGTATTGCGTTTGGTCTCAGAATGACCTTTGAGTCAATTTTTTCTATCTTTCTAAAAAATTGTCTGTCCTATATTTTGCCACCTATACTATAGAATCTATGCAGCATAACTCTCGTTCCTCTGAGATGGGGCCTCAGTAATTAATTCAGAACAAAAGAAAAATCCTACAGCAATTGTAATTTTCATTAGCTTTCTCACATAGTTCTCATTTATGTATCTGCAAAACCATGCTAAATTCTTCATTAATTTATTGTTAATTATCTGCTAAGAGAATCAGTGACTAATCAGCCTCTGTTACTTGACCAGGGTCTCTGAATAAAGACTCACATATTTTTGTAAGGAACAAAAGACTTATCAGGAAGAAAATAGAAAAATTAGTAAGAACTTCAAGGGAAGGTTTTACCCCTTGCAGTATGTATATGCACGTGTTAGTTGCTTTGGTTATTCTTAAATTGGTTAATGGATTTTGTCCTAAAATTCAACTTCACGTGTATCTACGTTTTAGTCAAGTGCTATTGTTTTTCTTTAATTCATGTTTTCTCAGCAAGGAATTTGATCAAATAATAAGTGCGGTCAAATGATTTTTGTTTCTTTTCCCTTAACCAAAAATAAAAAAATTAAATAAATAAATATCACATAAGATTTTACAATATATAACATCACTTGCTATGCACAGTGATGAACTGTTTAATATTTAAGAGTAGGTGAAAAATGTAGTAAGGTTTGTATATCTTTTTCTAAATTCATTTTTAGTGTGGCTATTGAATATTTTGGATTAAGCTACAATTTTGGAAGAGGGGAGCTCGTTCTGACCCTAAGGACATAGTCAGCTAGTTTATTTCTATTTCTATTTAGAGGGCTACAGATACCAAAGCATGTGGCATTTGAAATGACCACAAGGACAGTGGAATTTTCAGGAGCAGTCGTTTATGACTATCAAACCTGATGTCTCCTTCTGTAAATCCCTTAGTACTACTTACCACTGGCTTTCATTGTAACTTGTGTAGCGCCTACACCAGGTACAAGATTTAAAGGAACACTTTTAACAAATTTACAGTCGTGTAAGGTGCTGCAGATACTACAGCTGCAGTGTTGCCTCTGAAGTAACCAATCTCTGCTTTTGGTTGTATTTAACGACATCTTATTTACCTTTGTTTCCTGTTAGGCTTTCTAAAATACACAAATATCTGCTTTTTGCTAACTTTTTATGCTTTTGTCCTTGTAACCATTGATGTAGGTGACTTTTTTTTCTTCCTCTATGTGTATTTTTTTTTCCTCTATAGCAATATTAAAGATATCCACTCAGTTCTGGAAGTGACAGTTTATGATGAAGATCGAGATCGGAGTGCTGACTTTCTGGGCAAAGTTGCTATACCATTGCTGTCTGTAAGTTTCATTCACCTGACATACTGCTCTGTATTTCTCTTGCTTAAGGAAAAAAAAAATCTCAGCTCTGTGTCTGTCATTTTTCAACCAAGGTCTGTAATAAGAACACTAAAATTTTAACATACTCAATTCACGGCCATGTTGAATCCCATGATAGTTAATTTTTCCTGACAGACTTGGTCCTGGTAATGAACAGGTACTTGTCAGAATTGCCACAGTTGTTTTGGGTTCTCTGTCAGTTTCAGCAGCTGGGGGTCAAAGGTCACTGAGGGAGTGTATTCAGTGGAGACCGTGAGACAGACGGCTGTCATGTCCTTTTCCCGCAGATTCAAAATGGTGAACAGAAAGCCTACGTCTTGAAAAACAAGCAGCTGACAGGGCCAACAAAGGGGGTCATCTATCTTGAAATAGATGTGATTTTTAATGCTGTAAGTCTTAACTTTAGCTTTTTTGTACTGCTAAAGAGTTCAGTTTCATGAAAGCTTTTGTTCCTGATTTGTAGAGAATTTCTGTCATTCCTCATTTTCTCTAAACCTTGATGTATACTACAGAATGCTCTTCTGCCACTGCCTGGCACACCCACTCTTTTTGTTACTGTGCTGCTGCTGCTGCTGCTTCTAGTGCTGCTAATGTAAGAAATAGAAGCTTGTGCCTGTATATACATTTATATTTTGTGGGCTTGGCAGCCATGACTTTGGAACTTTATAATTATTGCAAATTGAAGTATGTGTCATTACTAAGTATGACATAAGCCCATAATATTGACACATATTTTGGTGTATAGGTGAAAGCCAGCATACGAACATTAATGCCCAAAGAACAGAAGTACATTGAAGAGGAAAACAGACTGTCTAAACAGGTAAAAAGTAAGAAAAGACTAATCTGTTTGGAAAGGCTTAAGGATCAGGTGTAAGCTGCTAAATATCTCCTATCAAACTGCTGTGTGTGGAAAGAATTACATGTCAATTTTCTGTTAGCAAAAATGAATTCTGAGTTTTAAGAATGGTCATGAACAATATGCAATTTTTTATTGTATCTATTCATTCTATACTGCAGTTTGATTTTTCATGAAATGTCTGAATGAGAACACAGTTGAAACAATTGGTGTGTCCACACATATCAGGTTATATACCACAGGTGGATGTAAACTAAGTCTAGCATAAATTTTTGCTCTTGACCTTCACTTGAAAGAACTCCACTTTGTTGAGGTTAGGAGCGTATCAACAGTCAGTTAGATTTTAAGTGTGTTATATGGTATTTAGAGACAAGTAAGTGAGACAGAATAGTTTATGACTTTTCAGTGCTATTTAGTTGTTATAGAAACAGACTGTTATAATTGCTTTAAAAATGCATTTTGTGATATTTCCAGTTAGTTTATATTTGGTAGAATTCTTTGCGATCCGTAGTTCTGTATTTTAGTTTTTGGGAGTTGAGTTGAGTTGAGTTGTGGGAAGTTGCTTTTTTTGTTGTGCATGGTAGGAAAGGGAAAGTTTTTAAAGTATTTTTTTTGTAGGAGCATATTCAGTTCAACTGTTAATGAACCTTCATAAACCTTAATGTGATTTACATTATCTACCACATGAATTAAGTATCCATTGTCCATTGTATTTCACAGAAGAGATTGCAAAAGGGCAAAATACTATCTTTCTTCACTATTGTAGGG